GATTATTCATTATAACAGAGTGTACATTGTGCCATTGTTGTTATTGATGTTGTATCATACTGTAAGTAAGAATTTGTTAAGAATTTTCAAACATTAAAATATTTCACAGACACACAGGTGGTATAATGTATATTTTGCATGTACAATTGTTTTAGAGTTGTTTTTAAATAAATAAATAAAAAATCAAGATTTTCTTTCTGTTGAAAAAAAACACTATTTGTATTGTATATTAATTTTGTATTAATTCTATAGTATATAACATTGCATTGATTTGATTGGTGCATTAAATTTAGCTGTGAAATGTCATGGTCGAATTTTCATGTTGCCATTTTTAAAATGTAGGAATAAAATATAGAAAAGCTATTGAAATTTTCTAGTTAATGTCTTTTTTTTGTCCAGTTTGGCCACTTATAAACTCTGTGTGTGTGGGTGCGTGTGTTTGTGTGAGTGTGTGGAGGGGGTGTTTACTTAATATTGTGAGGTCAGTGTGTCAAATTAAACAATGCAAAGTGAGGTTTAATCTACCTGTGAAGTAGAAAATGTCCTTCCTAGGAACTTTAATCTTCCTTCAGAGAATCATATTAAGTTTACGAGCCTAAGAAGATTGTATATACATTAGGTTTAGTTTAGCGTTAGGAACGCATTCGGGTAAATTTATGGTAAGGGTTTGAGTTAGAAGTCAGTTGAATAAGTATCTCACACTGTTAGAAAAACAATTTTGTGTGTATGGACTTAATGAGGGTTCATCAACCCTTGAAGACACTGCGAGTACGAACCCCAAACACGTTACCATTCATACCTCTGCCAAAAGGTGACATATTAATTTTGAAATCAGGGTAGCGATTCATAGGAAGTCCTTGGACTGAAATCATTCCAAAGATCAAAACCGTGACTATGACCCTTTTTCGAAGAAAACGTCTCAACTTCTGCACCCTATTGTATGACTTGTAATTTTTAAATAGCAATACAGGCGCCCAAGGACACATGTCTTCAGTTAGTCCTAAAATTAGGTTTATGTTCTAGGACGTGGTATACACTTAAAACTTTCTGTGTAGCGCAGGCCAGTAATTCACTGAATAATACTAAATATGTACCAACTATGTACGTAAGTCGACCCTTATAATACTATTTTGATCCACGGAAGGCCAATAAGGTCATTTTATGCATTATGAAGAAAAGATATGGCGTTATTGCAAAAATGATCATATATAAATATTATTAATAATGGTCATTTTAATACAAAAATATTGTAAAATACAAATCCCAGAGCGTAGATATATGGCGTTAGGCATCACCTCGCGATCATCTACAAAAACAGTATAATATATGTCCCGAGGGTAAAAATTGGCCCTGCCCTTGGATTCACTAAATTGGCATAGACTTACCGTCTCTTATGTATGAAACACACTAAAATCTTCTTGTGGGGAAACTAAAATGCTCAGAGCATAGCTATTTGGCATATAGCTTAGTACGTATGAGGGTCCATCCGCCCGTTAAAACACAAAAAGCAGCTTTCGATGTCGAGTACGGAGCATGGACATGTCACCAGAGTTAATTTTTAAGAATGTACTTCAATGCAAACTCCCAATGAAATGAATTTTTAGCCGAGAATAGGTCACTGTACAGCGGTCGATGAGCACCTGAACGTACAGTAACAAAAGTGAAGGTTAGATCTGATAAGGGTTGCCGTTTCCAGCAAAGGGCGAGGCCGTTTAGGCATTCTATTCGTACTAAGGGCTTACACACCCTTCCTCATCGACTTGCTTACAAAATTTATTTTGATGATTTCAGAGAGAGTTCCTTTAAAAATACCATTCACCAGTAATTTCATGGAAAATATACATGTAGCTTGTAATTGCTTATGCTTATTCATTGTTATATTGTAACCCAGTCTGGGACATCATCTCTCATTGCATTCGCCATCATCTTATTCCTTTTGTAAACTAATATTTTCCTATTTATTGGAGACTTAAAAATTCAAAATCATTATTTCAGCTCCGTATTTTCTGGCCTGACAGTGCTTTGTTTCTTGGGCGGACCCCTAGGTTGACCAAATAAGGAGCTCGGCTTTTTGTTTTACAGTTTTGATGTAGTAATTTTAATTTCTGATTTTGTTTTTTCAACCCCCGTCGGGCCCTTGGGTTTTCCCTTAAAAAAAAATATATAGTTATTTTATTTCCCCTTTTTGTAACAATGTGACCTTTTTAAAATGATTTTTGGATTGAAAAACTTTTTACCTTTACCCGAAAGTGTCAGGATGTTAGCTACTTCAGAGCGTTTCTGTCATCATCGGCAACCTCAAAAATACATTTCTGATTACAACTGAAACTGTTCTTATTTGCGCACTGCAAGTATGTATTGTATATCAAGGGAGATAAGAATGACTGATAGATTACCTGCCCCTGAGTGTAGTTTGTACATAGTGTAAATATCGCAGTAATTTTAGGCTCAAATGGTGCAATAATGAAAATGTCATTGAAGTTATTCTAATGTGAGCCAAAATTGCAGTTTTGCTGTAATTTCCTGTCTATTTTATGATAAAATTATCGAATGAAAATTTTAGCAGGATTCTTTTGCCATTATTTCAGAATGTCTAGTTGGGACAAATAAATTGAAAATTGGTCTTTCCAAAAGAGGATAGTTTTCAATTTTATTACAGTTTACGTCCGAGTAAATTGAGTACATGTATCAATATTTTATAACCCTGTAATTACGTAAAAGTAATAATCAATCTACCTGCATCAAAGCAGACGAACAATCTGCACGTGGAAGGTCCTCTTGTTTAACAAAATCATTTTTAACAAGAATTGTTCTCCAATATTTGACACCTCTCAAATGACACTCACTGTATTACAAACTGTTACATAAGATTCCGTGCATGATTTCCGATGACAGATACATGATAATGGTGTGAAATAATTGGATTTGTTTCGATCTCAAAAAAAAGGAACATAAATCATTTCTCTAGAACTGAGATCGTTAATTGGAACTGTGCCGATCTAATTATTGGATCAGAACATCCCGATATGACAAGGTACGTAGATGAATAAACGTACAATGTTAGACAACCGAGATATATTACATATCTACCACTGAAAGCTAGCATGGTATATCGCTTGTCGGAGAGATGAAATATCCGTGTTTAGAGAACAAAGATACAATTATTCACCGAATTGTGACGGAAAAAACCGAAGAGTTGCGATTGCCGAAAGTTTGATTTGCTAGATCAATCGCATCTCCCCGGCCCTTTCCGTCAAACTTCGGATAACAACTTATATAAAAAGTAAATGGATACTTGTATTAACATTTCAACGGTTTCTATTTCAAGCAGCTCTACTAAGGACTCAAATCATATAACAAAGATCAACTGGGTGCCCTTAAACGGGAAAAACATGGAAAAGATACTATAGGAATACACACAGAATTAATTTAAAATAAGGGTAGCAAAAATCGCAAAAAAATTACATGACAATTGCGGACTCGGATTGATTGGGTCTTTGTATGCGACTCTTAGTCCAATTTGAGTTTAAAAAACGACAAAACGCTTTTCAATTTTGTGTCATATGCATTAAAAATGATTTTTGGGGTAAAAACGCAGGCAGCGAATGATCTGAAATAATACAATTCACCTTCATCGGACAATTTACTGACCTTGAAAAAAGTTTTTTCAGTGTCATGTCAACGAAAATCAAAAAAGATCCCTATAAAATGATATTTTATATATTTTAAAAACTTTTTTGTATGAAAAAAAATTCAGTTAAAGGCGCTTCGGGGAAAATGCGGGAAAATAGTGGCGGGAATAAAAGTAAATAGGGTAAAGAGTAGTAGAGAATAACACGAGAAGGGGTTGATTTGGAAAAAAACGGTTGGGTTTTGGGAAATTAAAAGGTTATAAGGGAATGAACGGGAGGGGTTTTGAAGAATGGAAGGTTGAGTGGGAATGTTTGGTTGGGGTAGAAGGTCGAGTGGCGGGGGGAACGGTGAGATGGGGACATTGATGTTTAGTTGGAATGGTAGGGAAAGGTTGTTTTGGTGAAGGGGAAGGATTGCAAAAAAACAAAATTTGGAAATTGGGCAGTTGAGTTTGGGAAAAGAAAAGGTAAATGGGGAGAGGATGGGTTTTGTTGAGAAAAAGACGCTTAGTTGGAAATGGAAAGGGTTTTAGCGGAAAAAGGAAAATATAGAGACGGGGTGGAAACGGTTGGAGTGGGTGGCACGGTAAATGTTGCCCTGTGTGTGTAAGTAGCGAGAAAAGGGCGGGGTTACTTTACAAATCTGCTAAAACTCGAATTGACAATGGATAGAAACGTTAAACATGTACTTCTGACCAGAATTCATGTCAGATATTCCTAGTACTCAGATGACTATTCGATCAGAAAATTGTCTGTAATAACTCTGTAAGTGTGCCTAAATACATTCGTAACAAAGAAATCGTGCTTGGCATGTTTAGGATATGGAATAATATTTATAACAATACGAGCAGGGAAAACGTATATAAAGCGGAATTCGTTCAGTGAGTAAAGTTAATAGAATTCGTTCAGTGAGTAAAGTTATAACAGAGTTATTACGCCTGATTGCCAGAGTTTAGGACTGGCTATTATCATTAATGAACACACCATTTTATGAAAAGGTCAAAATTATAAAAAGTGCATATTCAATACATAATTGGGAAAAATAGTTTGTATAGTGAAGCTGGGGAACATAGCTATTTCGTAATACAATATATTTACCAATAACATAAAAGCCTCGTTCTAAGGTTGAAATTTATAATTTTTCTCGGGTTTTTGTTAGAGTGGTAATTTTTAAATTGAAATAAAGAATGAATATTTTTCAATAGACAAAAATAAACAAGTTAAGTGGGACTTTGGAATAATTGAACGAATGATAAATTTTCTAACAGTGATGACTGGGGGAAGAATCGGGTGTAGGGAAATGGAAATTTTATTGGGATGAAAAGATCGAAGTTTGTTGTGGGACCGGATCATTTGTGTTCGTTTTGAAGTCCGACGCCGACGGAGTGTTACGCCGCACCGAGGGGATCCGGAAGACTATAAGGACAACATGACCTGGCGGGAACTTGGGTATGAGTTCACACAGTACACGACTTTGCATGGACTGCGGTACATAGCCGAGCGAAATACGTTCATCGCACGGAGGTAAGAAATAAAACTTATCTTTTTATCTGTTAATTAAAAAAAAATATTACTGCACTTTTATAGACAGTCCCACGGAAATGCCCATTATCTCCGACAACTCGTTATAATTTTTTTTTATACAATTTGATTTGAATTTCAATACAAGTTGTGAGCCGAAATATTTATCTCACTACACAACAACAAATAACCCCTTCTTATTAAAAATAAAAACTTAAAGGCCTATTTTGCCTCAGAAATGCTTTTATTTTTATTTCTCAAAAGTTGTTGATGTTGGTGCTCTTTTATATTATCCCAAAGGTTACTCATAGCCAAATTAACTGAACCATTTTTTCATCTGTTGCTTTTCTTGGCATAAAGTACAGTTAAAGTGAATTGGTATTTTGTGTGGAAGTCAAAATAAACGTTACTTCTTTGTTTACATTTTGCTATTTTTTTGTGACAAATAATTTCACATTTATCGTTACTTTCTTCAGGTAACAAGCATCTAACATTCTCAAAAAACCATTATTTAAACAAAACATTATAAATTTCATGTTGAAGTAAAAAAACATGTTTTTGATGCATAATGTGCCTTTAAGCAAACAAAAAAAAATCATACGTATAGGTTATGCTGGATTAAAAGAAGCACTTTTAGCCAATTTTTGGATTGAATCCAACGCAATAAAAATCGGGTGCTCCCTATAAAAATGATAGTATCAGACATGTAACACTGATAAACCGATTCTGTGAAAAGAAACAGTTTCTTTTCCTTATCATCGGCACCGTAACTTGTTTTCATTCATTTTGTGGCTCAATTATATTTCGAAACGAAATTAATCATGAAGAATAATTAGGCAATGCCTTCATACTATGTACAACGTCTGTCTGGCTTACTGAAGTTTTATTAAAATATTTCTGTATTTCTGTATAATTCAAATGCATCCCATCTTCCTTTTCACTTTATACACTTAAATAAATGTACAATTTAGGAAGGTTAATCATGTCATTTTTAATGTATAAATATGTCTCCTCAGCGTTTTTAGAATATAAAATACGAATATATATGAACCTCGGGTGGCAAGTTCGGTACGAACATCAGGTTGGCGAATTCGATACTAACCTAGAGTTTGCAAGTTCGATACGGACCTCGGGTTGCCGAGTTCGAATGATTAATTTTGTTTTCACAACCGAGCTTGAATAAATATGCATTAAACCAAAAGACAAAGCTTGCTTAATGTTGACTTTTTACATATGTTTTCGTATGTTGTGTATGTTGTGGTGAGACTGGGAACATTAAAGAAGCTTACAGCTTCTAGGGTTTATTTGAATGCTTTTTACACCTGTTGAAAATGGTTGTACTTCAAGAATCTCTGTAAAATCTTGATAGTTTACTTCAATATTTATATGAGGAAGCGTGCTTTTAATGTTTGAACAAATTTTATGTTGTTATAAATTTTCAGTAATTATACGTAAAGTACATCATTTATACTTCACATTATCATGTATTTCATAATCTGCAAATATTGCGTAGTAATATGCACACCAGCAACAGGTAAGGATGTATGCAGTGAAATCTACTTTATAATGATCAAGGAAAGAGATAATGAGCTAATGATCGCAGACTTAATCGTAAGATTTAATTTTGATATTGAATAATACATCACAAAGCTATAGTGTATAGGTTCTATCCAAAATGTTTCTTTTTTATCCAGTAATTTCAATACAACTCACTTTTATTGGTTGGGTTTTACGTCGCACAACATCGGTCATATGGCGATTTTCCTAGCAGACCTTAGATGTCCTTCCGTGCGTAGACCCAACGATGATAGCTTCATCACATGAAAAGAAACACAAAGTACCTGTCGGGATTCGAACCTACACCGGTGGGAGGCAAGTGGTCTGAAGCCAACGACCATAACCTCAGACACCCTACTATTTTTTTTTTTTTTGATTAATGAGATTAATGCAAAATTTGTTTTTGTAAACAGCTATGATACACTATATGATGTGATTTATTCAATAAGAAATTAATGGTTAACATTTTATAACAATCTTTTAAACTACGATAATTTTCGCAACACGCATATCAACCTAAAATTTTATCAGAACTCATCGACCGACGGAATTACGGCCAGACGGACGGACAGACTTGCAAGATCTTATATGCAACATCTTATTCCCACTAACTCAAGTATTTGTTAGTTCTAACATTAACGTTTCTAAAATGAGATATTTTTCAGATCAAACAGTTATTTACAGTAAGCAGCCACTATATTCTATGATGCCTGATTTACACTATAAAAATGGGGAAAAAATGCGAAAACACACGTATACGACAAAGACCAACTTTCCCGTATCTTCCAGAGAATGTGAAACTTAGAAGAACGATAAAATAATGCTTTTTCAATCACCATACTAGTCGGATCATATACGTAATTTAATCAAATTTAGTCGAATACTCTATTACAGGAATTTATGTCTGCTACATTTTCATTAAAAGCAATTAAATCCGGACTATATTAATTACGACGATTCATGTATCACGTGCTAAAGATGTAATTTGGTTTCATATCAGTAACTGCGCCACCGAGGGACGTTTATGATATTTCGGTCTCGGAATCAAATCAAAATTAAATGATTAGTTAAAACAAAAGCACGCCACCATGTCGCAGATGGTCCTATTATTATGTAATAAATTTGAGCTTTAATTGGAGCAAAATTGTATTTAATAAACATTACATTTCTCCCATATGACTTAATCTAAACCTACTTTGTCTACTTGTATCACTATCAGGAATATAAAGATGAACTTTTAAAGGTCCATTATGACTCAAACATGCTATCAATTTTATTTCTCAAAAACTTTCTACAGTTTCCTGCCATAAAGATAAACCGTGTTTTACTTCTTTTGCTCTGTTGACTTAGTGAATGAGTATTTTGTATATTAAACATCTAAAATGCTGTAAATCCATTATTAAGCACATGTTTGACATTTCCAAACAATTAAAAACATGGATTTATGAGGCATAATGTACCTTTAAAGTAAGTCATCCAACTGTTAAGAGACTAGTCACACTGTACACGGATCTATACTGGTTGTAGCAAAGGCGAAACACTTAAGGTTTCCTGTCGGTTTAAGTTTGATTAGTGGTCATGGTACACGAACATCTGTTGAATAATTCCCTTTTTTCCGATTAAACATATACATATATAAACCCTTACAGTCCAATAGAAACATTTACATCATTTGCAATCAGTTTCCAATTTTAGTGGTTCTTCCCATTTATGTTATGCATAATTTGTTATAATTAAACGACTATAAATAAAATAAGGCATTCATCCTCGAGAACCGATACAAATTTAAACTTCCTAATTAATTTCTGAAACCTTTAATTTTACAACATAAATCATGTCTTTAGTGATGTTTACATTTCAGTATATATTCAGAATTGTCTGTTATAAAAATGTCCTTAACAAACGAAAACGCAGGGGCTCGAACTCACGGTCCTAGGCTTATATGTATCAAAACAATTAACTGATATGAGCAAAAGTTCAAGGTTCAAATTTCATTTGCAAATTGGCAATCATTGGCTGATATAGATCCTGAAATACAACACACATAAGTACAACATGTACAAGATATATATACAAACATCTTATATATATATATATATATAAGTATTATTTTTAAATAAACAAATATACGAGCAATGTGGTAATACTCATATAACATTAATGTCTTGTGTTCCACATTTGTTCCATGGTCAAAAATTTTCTTCAATTATTTACTTTTCTATAATAATCTATATTTATTCTTGGACTGCATTATGTTATAAGCATCAATATGAATAAAAGTTTTTCTTAATTCGTAATAAAATGGACAACAAAGCAGGACGTGATATTCTGATTCCGCTTTGTTTTGCGCACAAATTTTACATTTTCTCTAAATTCTGTTTAAACCTATATATCTCCTTGTTTTTCAGTTTCTAAATAGCTATGATAGATCTGAAAACCGGAAGTAGGTTATGCTTACTATTCATAATTACTTGTACTTTTGATATTAAGTATACGCTTTTTTTGTGTCAACACGTATTATGACAATATTTGATCCACTTTTAAGTGTCCATTTATATATATAATTGTTACCATTTTCTATAAATAATAGTGTTTATGTTTCCGGAATTTTGTAATAAGGACGATTTTGTTTAATTTGGAATAGGTCGAGGTTATTCACAGTAAATTAGCAAAACGTTTATTGTGTTAACATTCCACTTAGAATAATAATCATGTAATAATTGCTTAAGTTATAGTTGAAACAGTGTTGAAAAGCCATGCTATAGCAATACAGATACACCCGCGCTTTAAGTTTGCTTTGTGTATGATAATTCGTTTTCTGAGGACTTCTATCAAAAAGTGAGGACTTTTGTCAAAAAGAGTTAGGACTTGTTGACCAAACCACAAATTCAAAAAAGTCATTTATGCAAAATGCATTCGGGTATGATCTCTAATAAGTAAACTTTCTAATAAACATAAATGGATGGTGTGACCACGCTTTATATCATAAAAAGACTTGCCAATACTCCATACTTCAATCAGGACAAGAACATTCATGATTTGAGGAAACTATTTAAAAAAAAACGGTTCTTAGTCAATAACTCAAAAAGTGCAGATCATAATCAGTCGACACGGATGTGCCGGCATACCTTGGTCTGCACAGGTCGATTGAGTTAATAGCAGGCTTTGGGTTGAAATTGTTGCCTCCTCATTGAATGGGTCGTGAGCTATTTATTGCATTATTTGAAAACGTATGTATGATATTCCCTCATTTTCAAATTTACTTTGGGTCTCGTGCTTTTAGTATTTTTCTTTTTTCTGTTTACAGAATATTCTGGTTACTGTTGACAGTCACGTGTTCAAGTCTCATGGTCGTCCAGGTCGTGGACCGTGTACAGTATCTGTTACAGTCACCAATTGCTGTCAATATTAAAGTAAATTATAACCAGAGTCTACAGTTTCCCGCCATTACCATCTGTAATCAAAACGCCTTCAGGTAAATTTCGGATTCCATATAATCTCGTTAAATATCATTTAATACGAGAAACCATGACGCGCTTACTAAAATAGGTAGAAGGACTGCTCTGAGTTACTGTTACGTTTTTCAATTTGCTGCTCCTTCTGAAATTGTTGTAGTTTTCTTTTCTTTAATAAAACAACTTGACACCATCAAAAATCATATGATAAAAACAACAACAACAACAACTGAAAAACATGTTTGCATCTGCAACAATGATATACTAAGCGTTTAATACTACAGAAACTGTTGTGTTGAATTTATAAACGCCTTAACTTGGAGACTATTGAGCGATATTTATTACATTTTATGTTACAATAAGTTGTCAGCCTGTTACCATGGATATTAAAACTTAAATCAGAATGAATAAAATGAAATAGTGATTTTCATAGGAAGATATGATTTTATCACTTTTAGCTTATTAATGGATGTACTGATGCATCGATCTCAGTAAATACTCTAATAGCGTTCTTAATGACGTAATTCTAGTAAACCATTACTTAGTCTGTTATAAAAGCAAAAAGGAAGTAATAGCATGTGTCTAGTCTTTATGACGACTTCATATGCATAATATTGAAATTACAATTCAAGGCGTATGCACGGACAATGCAAAATGAAAAGTGTATGATAGAATTTATCTAAATTTTGCGTGATCATTAATACGATGAAGGAAACATTCCAATCGAAAAGAAAAACATAGAGAGTCACCGACTTTGTTTTCGAGTATTCGTCTTGAAAATGGCTCGGCTAAAAAGACAAACAAACAAAATCATCAATCATACGTAGTAGTCTGGAAAGACGGGTAATGGAAAAGTAGAACTGCGTCCAAATGTTTAATTAGATATTTCGATATACCATTTGTTATGCCATCATTATTCTAATATATTTGGCGTATATGGTTTTATCCATCATTAATTAATATGGACATTTTTAATGTTAAATTGGAAATGCAACATTGTACAAATGTTAACGATATTTTTTCTACAAGTCAGCAGAAACATAATAGAATTTGTCCTACTAAGATTTTTTTTTCTTATTTAGGACCAATTTAACCATCTAACGTATAAAATAACATTTCGTTTTGTTTTGTTTTTTCTGGACAGGGCAACCGAAGCCAGTGACCTTGACCTTTACAGACTGATAGAGGACATGTATCGTACCGGAAGAGCTACGTCACGGAACATATCCTGGCTAGAAAACCTACATAAAGATATTCGAGTGGACCAGCTGTACACAAAACTAGGTCACCGAAAGGAGGACTTTATAGTCAGGTAACATCAATCGCATCTTCTCGAACCTTTCCGCCAAACTTCGGATAAGAAACATCTTATTTTAGCGATTTTAAATTTGTTATTAAAACGTTTTGTTTTTTTACAAAATCATAGCATAGCTCATCTAAAGATATTTGTTTGTAATAAAAATAATTTGTGATTTAATATTTGAATCAAAATATGAACTGAATAAATGTATCAAACAGGGCAGACCATGACCGTATGTGCCAGCTTATCTTGGTCTGCACTTGCCGCATTGGTAGGACCTCGTGCCTTTAGCATGCTTAATGATAATAAATGAAATAGCGACGAGCATGTCAATTAAAAAGAAAGAAGAAACAATTCTTTATTATTTTCAAGCATACCTTTTTCTTTCAGCTGCTCGTGGGCTGGGGAAAGTTGTTCAGCTGATAATTTCACCACAACGTTAACGGATCACGGCATGTGTTACACGTTTAACGGCTATAACGAACGTACGCCTCAGCTGAATGTGTCATTCTCAGGTAAATCACGTGCATTTATTATACCCATAGAGATGTTTAGAAGTAATGTTTTGCGAACGTTTTGTGAAAAAACCTATTACTGGAAACTATAGTATTGCGACTGACGTCGAAACACAAAAAAACTACGGTTTTTTTAAATCAAAGAATACGTAATTATTAAAGTATTCTCTTGCAGTAAATCCCTTTGGTAATAAAATTGAAGACATTTTTGATTGGTTGGTATGGATTATTTAGGCGCTGGCATCTATTTTATCATATAACATAATTAGTACGGTGTTCCGTTGGGACCAACATTTTTCCGCATCGATAGTAACGATGCATAGAAATGATGGCCCCAATGAATACCGTTAATCGTTGTAAAATACTCATGTCTAAAAATGAATGAGATGGCTTTAGATGTTGCGTACAATTAAGTTAGAAGGGCTAATTACACAAGATTACCATTATTGCATACATACAGTCACTTTTAATGACCATTACTTACAACAGGCCTAACTAAAGTATTTTTCTTACAAAAATACTAGTTACCTTTTAAAATAAGTGTTGTTTTTAAGTACAATTGAGTTACGGTTATATTTAAATTGCATAATCCCAGGAGCTGAGCATGGTCTTCGGCTAACGTTGAACGCTGAACGATATGACGCCATGCCTGGTCCCCATGATGCAAACGGGATAAAGATTTTGGCTACGTCAGTATCTGAGTTTCCACGGGTGGAGGAAATAGGAATAGCCATCCCGACAGGAGCACATGCTTTCGTCGGACTTGGAGTTTTAGTGGTAATGTGTAAATGATTGATTGTTTCCATTGATTGATTGATTGATAGATTAATTGATTAATTGATTGATTTATTTATTTATTGATTTTCACTATTACACTGAAGGATAAAAGACATTTATTAATACGTGTTAATACGTTACTTGCATTTAAAACAAACTTGTTACATTGCCGACCTGATTATTTCCAACTGGTTTGTCGCAGAAAAAAAATACATATTGTTCTAAAATTAACCCCAGTTAGTAACAGAAAAATCCGAAGTTTTAAAAGCGTCCTAATAATTGACTCCAAGAAATGAGAGAGAGAAAAAAACAAAGACATTATTTTTTTTTCATTTCTATTTCGCGAAAGATTAAAACAATAAAACTAAAGTTTAATGAGTGAGACTAAAAAAAGTGTCGGAGCATCACACTCAATATCGTATTCCGGAAGATACCGGGCAAAGCGCTTGAATGATCAAATGCCAAAATCTAACCTTTTTTACCAACCAAAATGCACTTTAAATCGTCTAATTTAACTTACATACGATAATGAATGAAAAATGTAAGAATCGGCAAAAAGTGATCTACTTTGTGACCATGATTTCTACAAGCGTCTAGATGTACTGCAATTAAATATGTTTGTTCCAGATTAAAAACTTGCCTAAACCTCACGGAGATTGTGGTGACAAAACGCTGCTTTCAACGAAAAGATACTCTCCGGAAATGTGCATCCTTGAGTGTGTTTCGGCCTACGTTAGTAAAGAATGCAAGTGCCGAAACTTTTACATGCCGAATTTATCTGGTAGGTAAACTAAGCTCAGAATGATAATATGCTTTATTGAAACAACAAAGAAGAATAAAGAAAAGTGATGGTAGGATACCATAATTGCAACTAACTTTCGTTCTTTTGAATTTTACTATTTCTTATCGTTTTCTTTTGCGCTTCATACTGTAAAATGTGTAATAATTATGTAAAAATTATAAAAACATTCCAAGATAGATGTTAACTGTGTAAAATGATGTAAACTGTACCAGAATGATGTAAAATGATGTAAAAAGTAGATACTTTTCATTTTTTTGGTGCCTCTTGCAAATTTTAAATCATTCTTGTACATTATACAGCATTCTTGCGCATTTTACATCATTCTAGTACATTTTACATCATTCTTACACAATTTACATCATTCTTTGGAAGTTTTCATAATTTTTACATCAGTGTTACACATTTTACATCATTCTGGCACATTTTACTTTATTCTTGAAACTTTTATATGATTTTACATCATTGTTGCACATTTTAAACATTCTTGTACATTTTTATAAGGAGAATATTCTTGTATAGTCTTTTTGATGCAATATTGAGATTTGATATACTGTAAAAACCCTATGGAAAAGGAATGATTGTTCAATCTAAAAACATCGCTACATTTATGTCAACTTAACAGCGTCCCAACTAATATCTTGTACACGTCTGTTGTTCTCATTTTATCCATTCACAATGCATTACGTAAAAAAAACATAAATTTTGTTTCATTAACACTTAAATTGTATCCTTGCTATTAATAGTTAAAACCCTTTGTTAAAACAAGAACACTTTACTGAGTAAATATTACAATTATATTTCCCCGAGTAAATATTATATTTAGCGCTAATGGAATAGTGACATATTTATTTAATGACACACTTTATATGGCATGTGTGTTTAATTACCGTTATTGCACAAAAGAGGTTTTATCGTTGAAACATATGAAAAGATTGGAAGCAAGAATGGCGGCATTTATTTGAAGGCCCATCTTTATTTATTAAGGACAAATATTTAACATAATTATCGGCATCATTTTTTATGTGTTCTAGGTAATCTGCCCGTGTGTACGGTGGAACAATATTACGTCTGTTACCTTCGCGCATACGGTAAGTCACGTCATATTGTTATGATCGTTCATTTTTCTTTAATTTTGACAGGTAAGTTTTTACGAGCCCATGAGTATAACCAAATCGTCAGTGCAGTATTTTACTGGAACAAATACGTCTTTATTGGCATACGTAATACGTCAATGTTTTTATACGTAATTTTTATTGACAGGAACGTTTTATAGATGGCCATGTAAAAAAAGGCTTAAATCTTAAACCGAACACTGCATATACAAATTCAAATACTTATTTTTACTAATAAAACGACGTTTAAATAAGCATTATATAAAGTCAAAAATCTAGCGGCTCGGGTTATATTTACAAACAGCCGTTTATATAGGGCCATATAACCTGTCAACAATCTTTATAACTAATAATATAAACGTTACGATTATCCAATGAAAAGCGACATTACAAACATGCGGTATTAAAAAAATAATATGAACGTTACGTTAGGCCTACTTTACATCTCTTTATATGACAAATGTTCAAAATAATATATATATTGTTGTGAGTTCAAAAGCTTATATTAGAGATAAACGTTATCTTAAATCCATTACATATACTCATTTCAAATACTAGTATCATTCAAATAAAATTATTATGTATTATTTTCTAGAATATATCCGGAAAAAAACTGTAGATGAATGCGACTGTCCGACTTCCTGTAACTATCAGATATATGAAAGTTCAATATCGTATGCAACAACTTCCGCAAACGTGAAGGGAAACCAGCTTGGACTCGCTAAATCAGAGGATTTGAAAAATAAGTAAGTATAAAATGTTCTAATAATAAATGATCATACTACAAATTATTGGTTTTAGATCTATTTGAGAGCAGTGGCTGGCTGACTATAAAATAAATGGAACAGATTGAAATAAAAAAGTAAAAAAAGAAGATTTTTCGAAGTCTCAGTTTTCTAAAAAAAAGAAAGCCTTTTTCTGATATCTACTTTGTTCGGAACAATTTCAGTAAGTTTTCGTCATAATCATCATCACCATCATCGTCTCCGTCGTCCTCATCATCATCATTACATCATATGATCATCACTTTCACCATCATCATCAATCATCATCATCATCATCATTATCATCATCTTCAATCATCATCAATCATCATCGTCAACATCAGTCATCATCGTCATCAATCATCATCATCATCATCAACTTATTCTTCTTTCTTCTTTTTCTTCTTCTTCTTCTTTTTCTTCTTCTTCTTCCTCACGTCTTAAAAGCACACTTATTCTTTTTATAGCCATCGTGTCTTCATATGGCTAACATATGTGCCCTGTGTATCATTAAGCACCCATCATTTTATTCTTTGTGACAAATACATGTTATGAAGTTTTGGCGATAGCTGAACTTTGAATCATCTTCGGTTAAAACATATGTTTCTTACCTCAGATTCTACCGAGCAAGGGAAGTGACGGCGAAAATGAACCCATTTATTCAAAAGCGTTTTAAAGATACAGTTCAGAAAATGATAGAAAATTACAACAAGCTGAGACAGTTGTTTGCCTTTGATATTCTAGAGCGTCTAGATAAACAGATCAGGAACCTTGAACAATGGCGGGCGGATATGACGTCAAAAATCGACTTACGGCAGTTTATTTACGAGTACCAAGAATATTCCATCCAAAAGAATTTCATGAGAGCACGTGATGCAATGGAAGAAAGAACGCTGAATAACCTATGTTTCGGATTTCACGAGCACGTGTTTAACACGGAACTTCTGCTGCGGCAGATGATTGACACCATGAAAAACAATGAAACCACGGTCTCTAAAACGATCAAAACTTATTTGTCAAACACTTTGCAAAGCAAGATAGAAACTGCTGAAAGAGCATTTCAAAATTACACACAAATATATACAGCGTATGAAACAGGACAAAGGATTTTTAACTACAAGTTTAGAAAAATTCCGCGCGATGAAAACGAGGCCATCATTCCAAAACCACTTCTAAGAGAGTCCCTATATCATAATTACTACGCCAAGCGATATTCGAAACGCGTCGGTAAAGATATTAAAAAGGTATTGAGATATACACGCAATTTCGGAACATTTGCAGACGAGTCTTTTGCTAACACTTCCGGTATGCTTGATGTACAAGCAATGGAAAAAATAAGTGCACGTTTTATTGACGCCTGCGAGGACTACTTTCATAGTAAAAGTACGTTTTACTTTGAGACTGTTGACAGACCTTTGCGCATTATTCAAGAACGACAACAGAACTTTTCAAATATCAGACGAGACTTTGACAAAAACTTCAGAGAGCAAGCGGATATGTTAAGAACGCTCAAAAATTCACTTTCTATAATTAGAAGTGGGTTTCTAAGTGATTTAGCGAACGGGATTCAATTAGTACAAGATTATTTCGACGAAAATTCGACCAAAAATGTCACAAAAAGACAGTTGGCGCAGATTTTTACGTCTAAAGGGGTTAGTAACGATATGCACATGTTATCTCTATTTTTCACTGAAATTCGTCAGAAGGGACAATACATTTACCAGCAATGGACGCAAATCGGCTCTTCAGTTCTTAAAGTGTGGAGCTCCATTCTAAATGACAACGATAGCGTGGAATACTACACGTACAAAAACATGACAGATTTTCTACAGAACTATACGGATGTTGCTGAAAATGTCAGTTCGTTGTTCGAAATGCTGAAATCTGAGAACGATCTTAGGAATGTACTTAGAAATACAGATAATGTCTTCATAAAAGCAATAGAAACTCTTACAGAAGAACTCCGTCAGTTTTTGCAGGGAAGCGAAATGGGAGAGACGTTTATCCAGTATGTATTGTATCCAAAATATACTTGTTTTCGTCACTTTAAAGTCTTCGCTAGCGTTTTCAATCTACATTTGAGCCGCGTCACGACAAAACCAACATAATGGGTTTGCGACCAGCATGGATCCAGACCAGCCTGTGCATCCGCGCAGTCTGATCAGGATCCATGCTGTTCGCTTACAAACTCTATAACAAGTAGAGAAACTGATAGCTAACAGCATGGATCCTGGTCAGACTGCGCGGATGCGCAGGCTGGTCTGGATCCATGCTGGTCGTAAACCCATTATGTTGGTTTTGTCGTGACGCGGCTCATTTTTCAAAATGAATCTTATTTTACATCACGGTCTGTAGAAGATTGTATGTGCACACCAGTTTTTGAGTGGCATGTATTATTAAATCTAGCAAAAGTCATATCAATCATGCACTGCTACATGTGCATTCGGGGTCATTCACTTTGAACTTCTCTTCCAATATGTATTTTATTTAAACAATTAAATGTCAGCTGCTTACTAAATGGAGCAACCGACGGGGGGGGTCGGGGGGGGGTGGGGGGGGGGGTCGTTGGTTCTTTCCCCGCTTCGCTCATCCTCTCTTTCGTGTATGACGTACTTCCGGGATCCTGGGTATGTTTTACATATATCAACTTAAAGTTTAACTCGAAAATAACAACGGAAGAGGAGATAACGCTTTAGGAAGGTAAAATATTTTGAACATATTCATTTACAGCTTAAAATACTTTTTTTGTGGAATTTCAGAGACAATTTTATACAGCTCGATATTTATTACAAAGAACTACGTCACGAGGAAATCGAACAACAGAGGGCGTATGATGCTATAGCCCTACTCTGTAAGTTACCGTTGACACGTGTTTACCAGGGTTCGAATTTAAGCTGGCATACTGGCAAAATGCCAGTTAAAATTTAATAATGCCAGTAAAAATTACTCTAGCTGGCATTTATTTGCAAGTTACTGTTAATTTTGGACGTTTACATAATTGTTATCTTCTGAGCTGATGATGATGCTTGGCAACTGCCCGCTGCAAAACTGATGATGTTTACTGTGCCAGATGCAGTTACTGATGACGTTTACCTCAAAAAGTTAAAAATCAATTTTTAGTTGCTCTATTTAATTTTTCTGTAACTATATTTTGATGGTCTATTTATAACAGCCAAACACTATTGATTAGAGCATCCAAGATGTTTTATCAGGGTCCAATGTAAAATGTGTAGCACTCCTCTGTAAAGTGTTTACTTTTAAGCTGAAATATTTATTTATTTTAAGTACCTCTGAGTTTTCAGGCTGTTGGTGTAATCAAGTACAAAATATGCTAAAAATAATGAAGGTCCTAAGATGTTTCTGATATTCAATAGACATTCAATCTTATTATCATTTGTCATACCAGATGTTCAAAATACATTGTCATTGTGTATTATAATAATAATAAAAATAAGATATGTATCATGGAAATGCCAGTTGACTACCTCATATTGCCAGTTAAACTTTTGATCACTTGCAAAAATCTGCAAGTAGAAAATCTTGCTAAATTCTAACCCTGTTTACGTAAAATTTTCTATTTCTCATCATTGAATTATGTTATGATTTAATTCTGATGATGTTAATGATGTTAATGAAAATAATGATGATGGTGATGATGATGATAATGATGATGGTGATGATGATGATGATGATGATAATGCAGAATTACAGGTGAGGAAGAAGAGGGGGGAAGAGATGATCATAATGATGCTGATTAAGAAGAAGGAAGACAGATGATGATGATGATAATAATGATTGTGATAATGATGGTGATGATACAGATGATGATGACGACGATGACGTTGGTGGTGGTGGCATTGTTGTTGTTGATGATGATGTCGTTATTATTGCTTTTGATGTTGTTGTTGTTAATGACGACGACGACGATGGATTTAACTCAATACAGGATTGGAGCACTACCTCTAGACGCTTGCAGAAATCATGATCACAAAATAGACAAATATGATTTTTTTCGCCGAATATCACCTTTTTCATTCCTTATCGTATATAAATCGGTGTAAAAAGATAAGTTAGACGTTTTAAAGTTCATTCCATGAAGTGAAAAGGCGAAATTTAAGCATTTAAATACGGAATACGGCATTTAGTGTGTTACTCCAATCTCACTCGACGACGACGACGATGATGATGATGATGATAATGATGATGACAAAGATGATAATGATATGGTTGTGTATGATGATGATGATCATGATCATTAATCAATTTCACAATGTTTTATTTCATTTTTCAGGTGATATAGGAGGTTCTATAGGATTGTTTATAGGTGCTAGCGTGATGACGGTGTTTGAAATACTCGACTTCATCATCAATAACGCCCTGATCAACACGATTTACAGAAATAAACGAAAATAGGCGCAATAATTTTTCCCGGAACAAAGAAGATAAATAAGCGAGAATACGATGTGTACATAAAAAAACTGTGATGTAGCTAGTATATAAAATTAATTTTAAAAAGATAAATAATAAAAAGGGGTGAATATTATTTTTGAAAAATTCAATGATACTTACAAAGTTCATTAACACAAACAAACGTACAACAAATAAACAATATGGCGTGTATGTAAACAAAAATTATGCAAATGTGCTTACTAGTGAAAAATATAAAACATTGCAAGTATAGTTTTGAGAAAAGAAATTGCATGTGTATTATGTCAAAACGGTTGAAAGAAGAACTAGGTATTGAACAACGAAAGCAAGGAGCAAGCCCGTTTGGGCGTGGTAAAGGAATTTGGGTACAGGACATGTGGTTAAAATAGAAAAAAGTTTAGTTGAATGTCTTTGATGCCATTATAGATTTTTTTTTTAAATCATACACAATAACATAGGACTATATCTTCAGCTAAAAGTATCGAAGAAAACATTCCACTTGAATGTTATTTTTACTCATCGAATAAACATGTATGTGTTATTTTTCCTTTTTTTAATTTCATAAAAAAATACGGTGCTTAGTAAAATGCGCTTGATTGCATTTGTGTAGTGTACATTTGTATTTATCCTATTAAAAGCGCAACCTCATTATTTATTTGATATCCGGTGAACTTGAATATATACATGCATACATTAATATAGCTTATGTATTGTATAGCAATATACTCGCATATTAAAATGATATTTCAGTAGCGATTTGTTTCTTTATAAGTTGACACTAGTCTAGTTTATTTTCAAGGCAGTTCCTCTGTGTAGAAATCTATAAGCTTAAAGACCCTTACTGGAACCAACTATAAGTACTAAGGAACGAGTGTAAAGTTTCTTGCTAAAGGCAACAACGGCTTGCCCCTGGCGTGGTTTAAACCCACATGGCTAGCGATCAATAGATTGCTAATCCGACCTGTTTACCACTCGGCCATGCCGCCACGATATGTATGTTTGTCTGTAATAGAATCTACATCATTTTGTTTCCAAGAAGACTGTTCGAAAACTATTAGTAAATCTAAAATGTAAATGAAAATAATCATGCGCAGACCCTCTGAAATGCTTATACATATAATTGAGCCGCGTCACGACAAAACCAACACAGTGCATGGATCCAGACCAGCCTGCCCATCCGCGCAGTCTGATCAGGATCCATGCTGTTCGGCAGAGCCCAGGACCATCCCGGTAAGTTACCGGGATGATCCGGGACGATCCGGGATCAAGTTATTGTTGCGGTCACACTTACCCCGGCAGCACTACGGTAGTTCCCTACTAACCACCCAGGATGCGCTCCGGATCATCCAGGCAGAGCCCAGGTGAAGCAACGGTTCATGCCGGTGCTTCCCCGGTCGTTCCCGGATGACGCCGGAAGAGCTCCGGTTGACCCAGGCATAGCCCCGGTCGATCCAGGCAGAGCCCCGGCAGAGCCTAGGACGATCAAGGCAGAGCCCCGGTAGAACCCCAGTAGATTGAAAACACCCGAAAATGATAACATTGATACATGATTTTTAGCTCACCTGAGCTTGCTCAGGGTGAGCTTTTAGGATCGGTGAATGTCCGTCGTCCGTCGTCCGTCGTCCGTCCGGCCGTCCACAATTTCTTGTGAACACTCTAGCGGTCGCATTTTTGCCTCAATCATCATCAAACTTGGTCAGGATGCTTATCTAGTTGAAAGCTCGGATGAGTTCGAACATGGGTCATCTCGGATGAAAAACTAGGTCACAAGAGCTAAAAATAGAAAAACCTTGTGAACACTCTAGAGGTCACATTTTTGACCCAATCATCATCAAACTTGGTCAGGATGTTTGTCTAGGTGATAGTTCGGATGAGTTCGAACATGGGTCATCTCGGATGAAAAAGTAGGTCACAGGAGCTATAGATAGAAAAACCTTGTTAACACTCTAGCGGTCACATTTTTGGATCAATCATCATCAAACTTTGTCAGAATGCTTTTCTAGTCAATTGCTTGGATGAGTTCGAACATGGGTCATCTCTGATGAAAAACTAGGTCACAGGAGTTAAAAATAGAAAAACCTTGTGAACACTCTAGTGGTCACATTTTTGACCCAATCATCATCAAACTTTGTCAGGATGCTTGTTTAGATAATAGCTCAGATGAGTTCGAATATGGGTCATCTCGGATGAAAAACTAGGTCACCGGAGCTATAAATAGAAAAACCTTGTTAACACTTTAGCGGTCACATTTTTGCATCAATCATCATCAAACTTGATCAAGATGCTTGTCTAGGTGATAGCTCGGATGAGTTTCGAACATGGGTCATCTCGGATGAAAAACTAGGTCACAGGAGCTAAAAATAGAAAAACCTTGTTAACACTCTAGTGGTCACAATTTTGACTCAATTGTCATCAAACTTGGTCAGGAAACTTGAATAGGTCATTGCTTGGAATAAATCGAACATGGGACATCTCGGATGAAAAACTAGGTCACATGAGCTAAAAATAGAAAAATCTTGTTAACACTCTAGTGGCTACTGTTGTGATCCAAATATTCTGTTAATTGGTCTGAAAGTTTTTTTTGATGATTTCTAAGTCAAGATCAAACATGGGTCATCTTGGATGAAAAACTAGGTCACACCGCCCAAATATGGAAAAACCTTGTTAACATTCTAGTGGTCACATTTTCGACTCGATTATCATCAAACTTGGTCAGGATGCTTGTCTAGGTAATTGCTTGGATTAGTTTCGAAATCGCATGTGAAACTAGTTCACCGGAGCTAAAAATAGAAAAATCTTGTTAACACTCTAGTTGCTACTGTTTTGATCCAAGTATCCTGGAAATTGGTCTGAAAGTTTGTTTTGATGATTTCTAGGTCAAGTTTGAATATGTGTCACCTGGGTAAAAAACTAGGTCGCACTGCTCAAATATGGATAATCCTTGTTAACACTGTAGTGGTCACATTTTTGACTCACCTGTCATGAGACTTGGTCAGAATGCTTGTCTAGGTAATTGTTTGGATGAGTTTGATAATTCAGGTGAGCGATCTAGGGCCATCATGGCCCTCTTGTTATTTAATATAATATCTATTGTTCCAGAATAGTAATTCATGATGATTTTCTGAAAAATCCTTATGCCATACTGGATAGAAGGGAAATGGGAAGGCTTTTAATACAAACAAGTTCAATCATCACAAATTGTCCTTATTCTTTTGAAATGATCCGGGCTTTGCCGGGGCTCTACCGGGATCAACCGTAGCTCTACCTTTATCCTTCGGGGCTCTGCCTGTAGTTACCGGGGCTCTACCGTAGCTCTACCGGCTATATCATACCCCGGATCATCCCCGGTTTGTGCCGGCAGAGCTACTATGCTTTCCCGGTATAACCCCGGTCGTTCCCGGCAGAGCTAAGGATGAAGCCGGCAAAGCTATACCTTCCTGGATCATCCCGGACCACCCCGGTGATATTAAATATTTTATTCCATCCGGGGTCGAATGCCGGATGTTCCCGGATCATCCCGGATCATCCAGGACGTTGCCGGCAGAGTTACGGATGTACCCCGGTTGTTCCCGGTCGTTCCCGGATCACCCCGGACGTCTACCGGGGCTCTGCCGGGATGTAAGTGAGACTGTAGCTTTACCAACTCTATTACAAGTAGAGAAACTGATAGCGAACAGCATGGATCCTGATCAGACTGCGCGGTTGCACAGGCTGGTTTGGATCCATGCTGGTCGCAAACCATTATGTTGGTTTTGTCGTGACGCGGCTCATTTAATACATCCTTAAAAGAAAGAAAAAGCTCAAAACTGTAGTTCTATATGATTTTGATGATAAAACTGAAGTCTGTATTATATTTGACTTTAATCCGCCATTATATAATGATAGGCCTATTAAATGGAACGTTGTCTCTAAAATAATTTTGCATGGAGTGCACGTGCAAAAAGTGAATGTATTGTGACGAGCCTATTCTTTGGCGGGTAAAAGTTGCGAAAAATTTTACGTAATAATGCATTCGTAGACTAAATGTTAAAAAAAGCATAATGTCATTAAACAAGTAGAAAAACGACACATTCTGTGACAACTTATTATGACAAAGACAACGGCTTTTGTCTTTCCGGATATAATGTTAGTGAAGGGAAGTAAGTACGCAAACAAATAAACAGAAATATGTTAAGAGTAATCTTCCTTACTCAGTCAATGAATGCTATTTTATTTTGAGATAACGTTAGTCAACTGGTTCCGTAGTGTAGTGGTTATCACGCTCGCTTCACACGCGAGAGGTCCTGGGTTCGAGCCCCAGCGGAACCATGTCTTTTTAATAAAGGTTTGTATTTTCAATTGAAACTAGTCTGTATTTTCAATTTCAACTAACGAAAGACAATAGCAAGTTTTAAATAATTACTTTATTGTTTAGGACGTGCACGTTCAGGACTTGTGTATATGAAGGTTTATATGGTTAAAGTCGATTTAATTAACAGACCTATAGAAGCTTCATAATTTAATAAAAAAATATTATTATCATGTATATAAGGATCCTGCTTTAGAAGGCCCTAGACTATTCCTTACGTGCATTATATTATTACCACGAATAGTCCCGATCACACCATCTTAAATAATAAACCAAACCGACAATATAATTACACTCAGAAACTAATCAACGCTTAATGCAAGAAATGACTTAAATAGAATTGAACTTAAGTAAGCTTACAGCACCGACGAATTAAAAGAAGTTTCCAACAATTTAAAACATTCGCTTATTTGGCACGTTAATAAGTTCATGTAACTTCATCCCGCCGTGAAAAATTTGTGGGTTTTTGAATGTTCTCCCGAACGAGCTTTCTTTTATACAGGCATGGCAGCCCAAAATATTCCAACAACCTAAACCCCCCCCAAACCCGCCTGAAGTAGACTATGGGTAAAACCCGCAGTTAACCATTGACCGCGTCATGACTAAACCAACAAAAAGGTTTGCTACCAGCGGGTCCAGACCAGCCTGCGCATCCGCGCAGTCTGATCAGAATCCATGCTGTTCGCTATCAGTTTCTCTACTTGTAATAGGGTTTGTAAGCGAACAGCATGGATCCTGATCAGACTGCGCAGGCTGGTCTGGATCCATGCTGGTCGCAAACACATTATGTTGGATTAGTCGTGACGCGGCTCATATCATATCAAGTCAGCGCTTCTCACGATTATCGTCGTCAATATTACAACCTCGCAATTGTGTCAACATTTACTTCCACTTAAAATGTACTTTTTAAGCTTTTATATCAAATAGGTTATTTGTTATCAGAAGGCCCTAGGCGATAATAAACTACCGCCAACGCATCTAAACTTTGAAACTTTAAGCAAATAATATCGTGATGTACTGTAAAACTGCAGTACAATTTACTCTAAAAGATATTTGACTAGATAACAACTTAACATAGGAAAAATGTTTTACTTTCACGAGAAAGTAATAAGACGTAATTTGTATTTTTTTTCCACTGTTTAGCCCGAATAAAATACGCTTAATACACTTTAACCAATTCCTAAGACATTTCAAATTTTATACTTAAACGTAAATTTTTTTTAATTAACCGATTCCCTCTAAAAATCCAAAAATATTTTTAGATACAAATCATATCAAATGTATATTGGGCAGACGGCTAAACATAATATGAAAACATAATAACATCAAAGCAACTTTCAATGTTTATATTCCTTTTATTGATATTCTAATTGTTTATATATTGTACATGTATCTTTCAAATAAAACAATCAGTAATTTATTAACTGAACAGTGTAGTTTAAAACAGTGTTTTAGCAGTAAAATATATCATTCCCAATTCTTTATTTACACATACAATTCTTTTATCTTTTCCCAAATATTTATAATATTTTATGGTTAAAATTATTTAATCCCAGTCTTGATACTTAACATAAAACTTAAAACATTAATTTTCATCTTTAACAAGGCATTACAAATCCATTCACTATTTCTCAATGTTTATACACAAAGGCCTCATACACATGTCATGTTGCAGGTCGTAATTCACGTAGTTAAAATGGTAAATGGAATAATTATTTTTAAAACATAAGTTTACACATCATGTTAATTTTTTCTTTTTTTCATCTTCCTAATCTAAATCTTCATCAGATGACATGGTAAACTCCTTAACAATATCTTCTCCTTCCGGTACATCGTCGTCGTCGTCATCTTCATCGTCATCCTCGTCAGCATTTTCACCGTCGTCATCATCATCATCGTTTACGTCATCATCATCGTCATCATCTTCTTTCCCGTCGTCGTACTCTACTTCGCCGTCGTCGCCGTCAGACCCTGACCCAGCCAGTTGTTCCAATTCATCACTGTCAAAATCCCTGTAAAAACATCGGCAAAAATAGCTTAATAACTTGAAAAAAATTCCAACAATTATAAAAACAAATGCTACCTTAAAAATTTGCGGGAAAAAAGAAATTCTAATTTTAATTTGCATATAACAAGGTTAAAAATTAAAACTACTGAAAAAACCGGCATTTTCTTATAAGGGAATTTTTCAAATTTCGAAGCAAATATTTACTAATAAAAAAGCATTTTGAATTCAACCAGGGGTTTTCGCTGCGCCAAAAATTTATTTTCTCTGACGGGAAAAATATATAAAAATTTATCGAAAAAAACTGTTAAAAGGGGCTGATTGATAAATATAATCACATAAAACGGTGTAAAACAATCCTTCTAGCCCCTAAAGCTTCCCAAAAAATGTGTCATTCAAGCTAATGTCCCTTCATAAAAGGGGACTTTACTCAAAAACATTACAAATGATTTTAAAAAACCAGATCGATTTTTCGTTTAGCTTCATTTTACACTGGAAATGTTCACAGATATGAAAATCCTGACAGACTAATGGACAGATACAGACCTTTAAAATTTCTTCATGTTTTTAAAAGCAACTATGGAAATGGACACGGGACAGGGAATTCATTTCTAAAATAAACTTTCTAATATAAACTTACTCATAAAGATCGTCGTCGTCATCATCACTGTCGTCTTTTGTTGCTTTACTTTTATCTTTTGTTGCTTTCTTTGCATCTTTTCCTTCTTTATCTTTGCCCTTCTTTTTCCTCTCCTTCATTAGTTCTTTCTTCTCATCGGGCGGAAGAAAACTGCAAAATGTAAATTTTTTCACGGTTTATGATTTTTGTGTCATTAGAGCTATTTGTAATTTTTATATTAAAATAAAAATACCCTAGAAACATGGAATACTTATATCCCTAATATATAATTATTTAGGAACAAGTTTGCAGAATATAATAAAATCATGTGACTGCCGGCTGCTAATATATCAATGACGTCATTATATCGACAAATTAACTAACCTCTCAGTTAAATCCATATCGTTGTCATCGCTATCGCTGTCAAACAAGGCCGAGAACTCTTTCTTCTCCGTGTCGGTTGCTTTCAGCGGCCCCTTTGGTCGTTTTATCTCTGGCAGATCCGTCTCTACGACCTAATAAACAGAAATATATACTTATCAAAACAATAATCTGGTACTGTTACAAAATCATGATGGAGTAGATAATTCAACTATACTGTTATATTCATGTAAATAATTCGTCAAAAAAGAATGTCTAAATTGAAATCTGATTCAGAGAAAACCCATAGTATAAAATCCGACAAATAATTCAAGAATTATGAAAACTATGAATTGGTATACATTACCTCATCTCTGTCGGCTATACGATGCATGAGCTCCCTGTCTCTAAATTTACGCCATGTTTTGTAGAATTTGTTTAATGGAGTACTTGCCTCCAGACAACTGTCCTCCCACCGATCCTGCAAACATTTAACAATATTATATCACAAATTGGAAGATTTAAGGGAAAGATTTTTTTCTTTAAAAAGTTTTCGGGGACAAAAACTGTCTTCAGGACATGTCGCTGATATTAAATATTACACACACTTTCAGATTTTCACCTTTTTTGCGGACAAAAACCGTCTAGGGCCAAGCCTGGGACAGAAAATAGTTAAGTGTTTTTAAATTTTTTGGACTAAACTATTTTGCGGAACAGTCGCGGTAAAAATGCCCGAGTTCCGGGACAATCCTTGACGTCCGGGGCATTACGGTATAAATGCATTAGTAAATCAATTATTTAATATGATGTAACAAAGGGGAGGTAATAAGCTGAGATACAAGTTCACTAGCTAACCTGAATACAATAAATTAATGCATTCGGACATGAAATCTATAACATTTATTTCTTGTTTGGTCATTATTGTAAAATAGTTTACATTCCATTGGATTGGAAGATATATGATTTTTACAACTCCCAAGTTAGCTGCACTTTGTGTTGCAAGTGCATAGACAGCCTTTAAATACATGTATTACCTTTCACCAAAGCTTGTTTATCAAAACAAGGAACAAAATATTGTACACCACGCCTTACCTTCAAAAAGGCACGTATATTATAACTTAAAATGGATACAATCTTATTTGCAACCATATTTACTAATACATGTCTTATTGTTCTAGTCCAGTGAATCATGTATAACTTTGGCGTGTTAAATAGCCACATTGTTATAAAACCATTATATCCTAAAGTGAGTAAGAAGGAAAATGAGTCATCATCAATTAACAGCGGACTCCTAAATACGGCCGCCATTTATGTATATGTTTATGTAGCTGAAACTCCCTCTAGTCATGACACAATAATGTTTCTTTTCACATACACCAAAGTTACATTATGAAATCATTTGGGCGAATTTAAGGATCTACTTTATTTCATTTCTTGAACTAGAGAAAAACGGAATGTCAAAAAGCACGTTCAAAACGACAAAATTGAAAATGATGCAGACTCCGTTTGATAACGGTACTGGAAAGTGAAAGTTATCGTACACACCCCCTAGCACCGGCTTAAGCAGAATTCAACATTTAAAACACGAAAATAGTGAAGTTTTGAATTTAGAAACATCCACAAATGTCGCACCAAAATTAGGTATGGTAGGGGTTTCAAATATCTTTATAGTGGGTGGGGAGGACCTTGTAAAACAATTCCGTGCTTTATAAGCGGACTTAATTTATTAATTACTTTAATAATCACAATGTATATAGACGCGCGCAAGTCAAAATGTCCGTTAGTCAAAAGGTACCCCATGCGTGAAATTATGTATAACATTATGTATGAAACCAAATTACTCACAATGGACTTTCTATCGGACAGATTGAGGTTAGCTGAACGGCGTCGGCTCGTGATAAATGTACTGTTCTCTTCCACCTTGTCCAGAATCTGTTTCATCTGCTTTGTGAAATTACCCACTTTACATTTCTTCACGAATTCTTTCAACTGGAATATAACAATTAACTTTTCAAATGCCTCTAAATGAGTCTTTTTTAACAAATTAAATGACAAATTACGGATTATAGAAATTTCGGTTAAAAATGAATTAAAAAAACGGTTTGTAAGTAGATAAGAAAGTACAAATGTATTATTGAAACTTCATAATTATATTCTTTATTTATTAATAGAATAACATAAGTGTTCTTGGAAGACAAGTCAAGACAAACAAAAAATAAAATCGGACGAGATTGCAAGTCCAGCCGTTTCGGATATTAAAGGTCTATCGGATATTAAAGGTCGTAATGAGACTTTCCAACTTTTTTATGCTAGTGACCTTATGCGCCTTTCTTTCGGAAAAGAAGTGAGCACCAGGATAGACGAGATATCTGGCCAGTAACGAACAAGAACATATTTTTTGTGACTTTATGAAGAATAGGCTGGCATGAATTCCTTACCTGAAGTACAGCTGGCAGGGCCAGCTCCGGGAAAGCTATCGTATGTGCGTACGCATGGAACGTTTCCAGAAACAATTCATACAACTGGTCAATAACGCCATCCTGTAAATAAAAGAAACGTAACTGTGATAGTCTTAATGCAAGAAAAAGATGTATGAGTTATTTCCCTTTTCATTTGGAATACACACCGGCCTGCGATGATGCAATCTTTCATCGAAGCCTCATAAATTATTTGGCTCTTCAAATGAATAAAACTAGAGATTATATAGTTGACTTTAGTATTATTATTATTATTATTATTATTATTATTATTATTATTATCAACATTATCATTTCTGCTTTTCCAGAGAAGACACACGGGTGGACTGTGTAAGAAGTGCTCTAATTTCTAAGATGATACGTAATATGTATGTACATTGTCCTCGTACTCAGTACCTTGAAGAATCAATATTTTGAGTCATGGTTCCGTTGCTAAATTTAGCTTTATTGTACATGTATTTGTAAATACCTCAAAACAGTCTGATACTTAAAAAAACTTAAAAAGCCTTAACAGTAATGTATATAATAAAATAAAACCTATTTGTAAACATAGTCAACGAACATGTGGCGTTTTTTTTAAACCGTTGACTGTAACAGAAACATGTTTCACCAAGTTTAAAAAAAGCAGAGAGAAAGATGCCTATATAAATGAGCAAAACATATCAGATATGGGAATGGTAACTGCATGTTGCCCAGTAGTTAGTATTCTCTTTTTAGTCATTCCGTTTATGTTATAATAATAACTTCTATGTAATAACAACAAGCAAGCCTTATTGAAGAACGTTTATAGCAATGAGGTCTACCGAAAGTCTAAGGTAGCGTCTGGTACACGCAATACCTTTACAATCCCATCCACAATTTCCTACTAATTTAATTTTTTCCACTCGTATATATTTTAATAATCAAGCCGTTTATTATATCATTATAACAGTATATTGTCTTTCTTAAGGCCTCTATCACGTCACTGTTTCGTGCGGAAGCCGCAAAACATTCGTACGAATTCTTTAAGGTTGCAAGGTTGTCGCAACGTCGCAGACTGGTTTCTCAACATGCACATAATTTCTGCGAATTTTTGACAGATTTTGGATGTCTCTAGACTGTCGTAAAACAATCGTACGGCAGACTCACGATTTCTAGAGGTGTTTTGGGTTTGTCTTGTGTGGACACGAGCATCTTGCGGCTACCACGGGCCGTATTCAAACTGTCTAAGTAAACTGCGACATTGTCTACGACGTCCAATAATCTAAAATTGATTTTTTTACAATAAATTCTTACGAGATTAAATTTTATGGAAATGACGCAAAAGTTAATTACAATCAGCAAAATAAAAGTGCAGATAACCAACTTTATATTAGAAGGACTTTGCTGAGATTTTCTTTATAAGGCAGACTGTAAAATAAATTTAAGTAAGATTCCAGATGCGGCATACTCATATTTCAGTGTCATTTTCCTATCACAAGGGTGATGCAACCTTTAAGCAAGCACTTTGCATTCCCCTAAAATAATTTTATAACTCTCGGATGACGTTTTGATATTCCCCAAATAGAAAATATTTGATTATAGGCACTGTATGTTATTGACTTTATTTTTATAATGAAAAAAAAAAACACAGGATGAAATCTCACGGATTATGTGTATTAAGAAAGTCTGATGGGGACATTTCATTATTTTATCTTCATGAATTCACAATTTTAACTTCGTGAATTTAAGTTTCCAACTTACAGAATTCTCGATTTCAACAACTCGATGAAAATAAATCTTGTATTTTAAGAAAAAAAACTTGAATATCCTCTATGTATATACATGACTATATTGTGGTGGTTAATTTTTTCATATCTAGGTTAGGAAGATGCGAAAGGAGTTAGCCTACACTGTAAGTGTAACATCTACAATATATTTGTAATATAATATAAGCAGAACTAATTGTTTTGAAGCACTGGCTTCTGCTTTGTAAAGTGATGGGATTTATAGTTTATCCCCGGAAACTCGCACATGCTTTTTAGGAGGCATATAACCTCATTTATGTTATATTCATACACATATATTTTAATATTTTGAATATGTTATATTTGTATTGTTCCTTGTTGAGGGCCTAGAAAGATACATATGTTGTTCAAATGAGTTCTCTCGTTAATAAATTCTGTATTATTATTATTATTATTATTATTATCATTATTATTATTATATACACCTTACACATGAATAATTTTAATACAGGTCCTCGGCAGAGAAGAGTAAAATCCAGTGGAATAAAGAAGGATCAAATCTGAGTAGCAACGAATAGCCTCCATAGTCCCATAGATTAAAGAGCTACTACAAAGCTTAGCGCCCGATATTTTTGTTTTAAAGACCCCCCCCCCCGTTTTATAAGTACAGAAATGTGGATAAAAGTAAATAAAAACTAGGTTATTATAGCGGCAATATTAACAAACACGCTCCCAATCACGTGGGCTTTCACAAGATTTGCAGAGGCGTTAAAATATCTGCTATCAACCTACCCTATTTCCAGACAATCTTTTACAGAAATAACCTTCGTTGCCATATCATTTTGTCCTTATATAAGACCCTTGCTGCTTCCCCCAGCAGTTATAGACTTTAAGCGATTACATTATTAGCAACAAATTCTCTAACACCACCTGATGTCAAGACTTAATTGAAAACAAGAACTCATATAGGTGCCTGTAACGCTCGCCTGTTTCATTCATGTTTAATTTCTTTAATATTGCCGGGATTTAAAGTTTAAACCTACGTTTTAGCTCTATTTTGATGAAAAAATCAAAGCATATTTGAAATACTCTTGGCGTCTGTTTCACGGAGCTATAGCGGTGCACCTTGAAAGAAGTGAGTTGACCCGATTTTGTTTTGTTTTAGTTTATTTACCATTCGTATTTCGAATACAAAAGACTCAGCTGATTTACTGCATTGACACAGCGTGCTGTCCCGATTCACGGGCGACCATGGTTCCTTTGCATGGCTGTTGTAGAACACCCATATTTGTAAGGTCTAATAGTATTTATAGTGGTGGAAAGTGGGATCGTACCTGCGGCAACTGGACTACTGGATCAATGCATTAAAACTGGACTACAGATCCGCTCTTTGCCGCTATGATTCCTCGTAACTCTAATTTATATAGATGCTTATCGATTTATATAGACGCTAATTGATTTATACAGCTGCTTATCTCGTCTTATAAGACACGAACATTAACGAAATTGGCCGAATTTTCACGAACGCTCAATCGAACACATTCAAAAATCTTTGAAAGAATACAATCACTCATAAAAGAATAAAAGACGACAAAATAGTTTAAAAGAACTCCTCTGAGGTCCAATATCCTAAAATCATTTAATATGAAATTACTTGATAAATAAACTGATGCACTTAAAATGGAAAACTAAACAATGTTCGTGAAGTTGGCAGCCTAGCAGCCTAGCAGCCCAGCAGCCTGAAGTTGGCAGCCTAGCAGCCTGGCAGCCTAGCAGCCTGGCAGCCTAGCAGCCTAAAGAAAACTAAGAATAGTACAAACATGAAATCGTCGGATATGAATCGGAAGCACATACTTAGACCATTGCACGTCTTATTTCAGTATCGCGATCTTTATTTTTTTAAATATTGAACTTTGTTTTTTTTTATTTTGACGCTTCGAAATTTGTGAAGTTAGCAGCCTAGCAGCCTGGCAGCCTAGCAGCCTAAAGAAAACTAAGGAAAATACAAACATGTAAACCGTCGGAAATGAGTCGGTAGCACATACTTAGACTATTCCACGTCTTTTTTCAGTATCGCGAACTTTATTCTTTTCAATATTGAACTTTGTTTTTTTGTTTGTTTTTTTTACACTTCGAAATTTGTGAAGTTAGCAGCCTAGCAGCCTGGCAGCCTAGCAGCCTAGCAGCCTAGTAGCCTGGCAGCCTAGCAGCCTAAAGAAAACTTAGGACAATACAAACATGTAAAAGTATGAAATGAGTCGGTAGCACATTCTTAGACTATTCTACGTCTTTTTTTCAGTATTGCGAACTTTATTTTTTTTTAATATTGAACTTTGTTTTTTTTACTCTTCGAAATTTGTGAAGTTAGCAGCCTAGCAGCCTGGCAGCCTAGCAGCCTGGCAGCCTAGCAGCCTAAAGAAAAATAAGGACAATACAAACATGTAAACCGTCGGAAATGAGTCGGTAGCACATTCTTAGACTATTATACGTCTTTTTTCAATATCGCGAACTTTATTTTTTTTTTAATATTGAACTTTGTTTTTTTTACTCTTCGAAATTTGTGAAGTTAGCAGCCTAGCAGCCTAAAGAAAACAAAGGATAATACAAACATGAAAACCGTCGGAAATTAGTCGGTAGCACATACTTAGACTATTCCACGTCTTTTTTCAGTATCGCGGCTATTGATCAAATGGGTATTGTTCTTAAGTTCAGATAATCTTTATGTTCATTAATGTGTTCGTTTAAACATATGCATTGTATATCTCTTTACATTTCAGCCGATTTATCTTTACAGACATCGTCAACTTCATTATAAACATATACATACAAAATAGCATATCATAAATAAGTCACATGACGTCGCTTATTGTCCATAGACAGCGACATTATTAGCCGCGAAAATGTTAAGATTAAGACTACTTCCTACGTTATTCGAAAACATGTTTAATCCAGCAAATTTTGAAGCGTCAGAATGAAAAATAAAATAAAATTCAATATTTAAAAAAATAAAGATCGCGATACTGAAATAAAACGTGGATTGGTCTAAGTATGTGCTACCGACTCATTTCGTTTGTATTATCCTTAGTTTTCTTTAGGCTGCTAGGCTGCTAGGCTGCCAGGCTGCTAGGCTGCTAACTTCACAAATTTCGAAGAGTAAAAAAAAAACAAAGTTCAATATTAAAAAAAAATAAAGTTCGCGATACTGAAAAAAGACGTGGAATAGTCTAAGTATGTGCTACCGACTCATTTCCGACGGTTTACATGTTTGTATTGTCCTTAGTTTTCTTTAGGCTGCTAGGCTGCCAGGCTGCTAGGCTGCTAGGCTGCCAGGCTGCTAACTTCACAAATTTCGAAGTGTCAAAAAAAAAAAAAAAAAAAAGTTCAATATTTAAAAAAATAAAGTTCGCGATACTGAAAAAAGACGTGGAATAGTCTAAGTATGTGCTACAGACTCATTTCCGACGGTTTACATGTTTGTATTGTCCTTATTTTTCTTTAGGCTGCTAGGCTGCTAGGCTGCCAGGCTGCTAGGCTGCTAGGCTGCCAGGCTGCTAGGCTGCTAACTTCACAAATTTCGAAGTGTCAAAAAAACAAAAACAAAAACAAACAAAGTTCAATATTTAAAAAAATTAAGTTCGCGGTACTGAAAAAAGACGTCGAATAGTCTAAGTATGTGCTATCGACTCATTTCCGACGGTTTACATGTTTGTATTTTCCTTAGTTTTCTTTAGGTTGCCAGGCTGCTAGGCTGTTAACTTCAAAAATTTCGAAGCGTCAAAATAAAAAAAAAACAACAAAGTTCAATATTTAAAAAAATAAAGATCGCGATACTGAAATAAGACGTGCAATGGTCTAAGTATGTGCTTCCGATTTATATCCGACGATTTCATGTTTGTACTATCTTAGTTTTCTTTAGGCTGCTAGGCTGCCAGGCTGCTAGGCTGCTAGGCTGCCAACTTCAGGCTGCTGGGCTGCTAGGCTGCTAGGCTGCCAACTTCACGAACATAACTAAACAATATAAAATATATCAATTTCCTCTGAATCAAATCAATGATCGATTTTAAATGCGATTGTTTGGGTCTAATTTGACTAAAAAAGCGTTGAAACGCTTTTCTTTTCGGCGTTAATTTGCACAATGAAATGATTATTCCTAGTAAACGGAGTGAGCAAATGATCTAAAATTTTGATTCATACCTTCCTCCAGTTATAAAAAATCTTGAAAAAATATTTTCGGTCCCTGACAAATATACTGACAGTGGAGTCCCTTTAAATAGTCGAGCTAAAATTGAATTTATTTTAGTATATATGTTAGAATGCTAATAAATCGGAGACAAACATTAGACATTTGAGTCATTGGAGATACAGATATTTCTTTTACCTTGAACGATTTATCTTGAAGTTGTGGTTTCGTGAATTTGAGAATGCAGGCAAAGTTGACTGGCTTGAAGCTCAGGGATTTATGTTTCTTGTTGAAATCGGTCAGTTCAAACACCTAAAATATATAGAAAACACAGGTAACTCTCTGCTATAGCATTAGACAAGCAGATTTTCATAGTTCTGAATATTGGTCTAAAAATAGATCGTATGCACGTGAAACAGCCATAACACTACGCCATATCACATCCTATATCACTATGTTCCTGAAATGTTCAATACTATCTCACTATACCATGTATCTGAAATCGCAATCTTGTTTTTGAAATGATTTCATATAAAGTTTGTTGATAAAAAACTGAGAAATAGGTGACTGCATTGCTCAAGTGTAGCTGCAGAAAAGAAAGAAAGAAAGAAACAAAACGAACTAACTAACAGACAAACAAACTAAGTAACTAACTTACTAACAGACAAACTAACTAACTGACTAACTAAGTATATAGCTTACGAACAAACAAACTTAAACAGTTTGGACAAAGTTGACATGCCTAAAAAACAAGATAACGGTGTCAAACATTGTTTTTTCTTATGTATTTTTTTTACATTTTTGTGCATAACGTCAATCAATTTTGACAGGTTCCTAATCAACATGATTGATAAAAACATAAAACCAATTGCTTATCATAAAAGAAAACACAGGTTCTTTGAATGACCAACATTTCCAATTTACTTAAAACAAAAGTTATCCGACTAAAATCTAGACGTTTCTATCCGACTAAAATCTAGATATTTTTAAGTTTTCTATGCAAAAAGCGCTTTAGGAACTATACTTGTTCTCATCAGATAGTTTTAAACATATTTTCTTCTGATTTTTATTATTCATTTACTTTTTTATTCATATCAATCAATTAATTAATCATTTTTGATTATTTAATTATTTAATTAATTAACTTATTTATTTTCTCTGAATTTAATTTTATATTGCATTTTCTTGAAAAAAAAAATTAAAGGGGCCCTTTACATAAATGTTCATTCTGAAATACTTTATCAACATTTAATTTGCAAGAATATATATTTATAAGAATATACAAACGATACATTTCAAGCAACTTTTAACAATATTTGAAATATTTTATGGAAAATGTGCCTATTGTAGACCAATCCACTTTACACTTAATCAACCTTTAAGAAAATTGAATATAACATAACAGACGGCATGAAAAGTAGCATTGTGCATTTTATTTGTAATTGTCACAGTTCTGTTATACGTAAATGACGCATTTTCACGAGAATTAAAACTGGGGCTGTAGGGCTTTAAACAAGAGCTGTCACAGGAGACAGCGAAGCTCGACTAATAAAATACTGGACGCAGTAAGGAGGACAAAACTATGAAAGAAAAATCGATAATGTATAATTATGTATTAAGTTATAGTAAAAAAATAACATTTGTTAACATTAATTCCAAGGTCAAGGGGAATAATTCTAGAAATAGTCATGCTAGAGTTATGGACCTTGTCACACAACAGTTGTGTAATGATAAGAAATATATATTTGAAGTTTGAAGTAGATACCTTAAAAAGTAAAGAAGTTATTATATTTCTTAAAGAAAATCCTAAGTTCAAAGAGAGATAAATCTGTAAATATTGCTTCAAGAGTTATGAACATTGTCACATAAAATGTAATTGATGATAAGGAATAAGTATTTGAAGTTTGAAGTAGATACCTAAAAATAAAAGTGTAATAATAAAAAATAACATTTTTCTAGTAAAAAAATCTAAGTTAATGAGGAATAATTATTGCAATATTGGTGCTAGATTTATGAACCTTGTCACATAAGATGTGGATGATGATAACGTAAATATATTTGAAGTATGAAGTTGATCCCTTTAGAAATAAATAAGTAACAGTAAAAAAATAATATTTTTTATGGAAAATTCTAAGTTCAAAGGGAGATAAATCTGAAAATATTGGTGCTAGAGTTATGAACCTTGTCACATAAGATGGGGATGATGATAACGTAAATATATTTGAAGTATGAGGTTGATCCCTTAAGAAATTAAGAAGAAACAGTAAGAAATAGTATTTTTTGAAGAAAATTCTAAGTTCAAGGGGAGATAAATCTGAAAATATTGGTGCTAGAGTTATGAACCTTGTCACATAAGATGGGGATGATGATAAGGTACATATATTTGAAGTATGAGGTTGATCCCTTAAGAGATAAAGAAGTAACAGTAAAAAATTGTATTTTTTAAGGAAAATTCTAAGTTCAAGGGGAGATAAATCTGAAAATACTGGTGCTAGAGTTATGAACCTTGTCACATAAGATGTGGTTGATGATAAGGAACATATATTTGAAGTTTGAAGTTGATACTTTAAGAAATGACAAAGTTATAGTGAAAAATATTTTACTGCACCAAAACTTTAATCTAAAATCTGGACGCGGACGCGGACGCGGACGCCGACGCCGGGGCGAGTAGGACAGCTCTCCATATACTTCGTATAGTCGAGCTAAAAAGTAGGACAATAGTTTTATGAGCGTCACAGATGTCGCAATCATAAAGCAACAAACCGAGAAAATATACTTTCGAAAAATCTGGAATTTAAAAGAACAATGGCAGCGTATGTTGTGTAAAAAGCATAAGTTCAGTTAACATACAAATATGTCTATATTTAACCTGTTTCATTTGCACTTTTATGAAACAGATTTGCAGACAATTTTCATTTCTGACTAGCTTTTTCCCCGCTTTGCCCTACTGATATACAGTATACAAAGGGAAGTAATTAGAAATTTATTTTCGATAAAGTCAAAGCCAAATTTTTCAATAAGAAATGAATGCATGTATTTTAAAGATTACTTAAAATGCGTATAAACATTTGCAGTACATATTAATCATATTCTTGGATGTTTGGAAATTGTTTTAGAAGAATAATTATATACATATATAAAATTTCAATTAAGTGTTGCTACATGCTAAATTACAACATACAGGATCTTTAACTAAACGTTCTATAAAGTATAAACGGTCTATTCATACTGCAGTTTGAATTTGTTTGTCCTTCAAGACATTCATCAAGTACTTTTTAATAGTCGCGGCTCGTGCTATAATTTCAATAGATTAGTTTTCCATCATAAGTATAAAGCCTTGGTCATTAAGATTTCCTGAAACTAAACTACTTCTATAGTATCATTAAAACAACTAAGCTTTTAAAGGACCTTCCACAAGAAGGGCGTACTGATTCTGACAATATGTCGTTTGACTTAAACTAAGATGGTGGTTTATCATCTACTTAATGATAAATATTCTATATTGTTAAACGTGACATCATGCATAAATGCGTATAATTTGTGACATCCCTCTAAGAAATACTTTCAGAACTAGCCATTCCGACAGTTTTTTCAAGGACAACAAGTACTTCAGGGAAATTTCTAAGGAATTGACCGAAGAAAATACGGGTGAATGGAATTTGAATAAAAAGATGGTGCAAAAATGGCAAAAGAAATTGACCAATAACCAATCCATCAAGCAAACACACGATACTGTACAAAACCAGCATTTTACATAAAATGGACGACACTGCACAAATCAAACTGGGTAATGAATTGAGGTTGACTGAAGACGCAGCAGACGACACGTAACAAAAAGGGTATCATGAGGCCAAAGGAAATATGTTGGAGCCGACGGGAAATAAAACTAAAACTCATAAGCCTAAGTTCTTCCAACATTCAAATATCACTTTTGTATTTCAGATTTCTTTTCTTTCAACCAACTATTCACGTGGCAATTAAGGAACCAGTGTAAGATATTAATTACAATACAACTGCGATCTGTTTAAGGAATCGTGTAAAATGTGGGCCAGCATTGATTTCAAAGAAAAAAATATATAAAACATGAAAAATACGTTCATTTATCACCAGCTTGCAATCATGAATAGCTATGTATTTTAAAACTTTCCATATACGTTCTGCGTGATGCAATGTTAGATTGTATAACGATTGGAAGATTGGAAAAACGACAGTCGATGTATATACACATTGTTCTTGTGAAATTACAACACACGCATCTATCTCATGCACTCGTTCCAATTAAACTTCGTCACGTGATAAACTGACATTTAAACTGAACTCATACAAAAGTAATTAAAACAATAATGACTAATATACATGTACTGTAAATGATTTCATAGATAGTCATCTTTTGTTTGATTTGTTTTTTAATTAAAAGTCAATTAAAGTATGCCATATATTATAACACACAACGAGTGCGTAGGTGTTGAAAATATTTCATGAATTACAATGGCATTCTGTTAATTAACAGATAGGAGCATCCATGGTTAACGCAAAGGTGTTTTAAAGACTCTACCATTAAATTCGTTTACTGCCAACAATGGAATTGTAAAATTACTGAGCATAGTTACAAGAATTCCTTTTAAAAATCCAGTTTTTAATGAAGTCTTTTTTCTAATGTCAGAACAGAAGAAAAATGCCATTTAAAGACGAAACTAGAACTATCACTAAATGTGATTAATACCCCCACAAGTCTGCTTCGGAAATGAGGATGTTACTAGTAACAGAATACCTTGTAAAAGAATTGAAACATAGAGTTATGGTTGTGGGCAATTAAAGATAATTGTGGTTCATGTATGTTGCATTTCCTTTCAATGTGGAAAGGCCATTGATGAAGTTTAATTGAATTACTCTGTAATAAGTCCAGAAAGACAAAGAAAAAGAACAAAGGGCAATAACTCTATAAATACTGAAGATAGAGTAATAGTTCTTGTGCACTGCACTTCCTCTTATTGTGCTTGACCATTGTATGAAGTTGTTTTGAATTCCAACCAGTACGTTTTAAGTTATGCTCCGGACAAGGAAAAGTATCAAAGGGCAGTAACTCTGTATTTTGTCAAAATAGAGTTATGGCTCTTGTGCACTGCACTTCCTTTGAATGTCCTTGACAACTGTATGAAGTTGTACTAAATTCCAAACAGTAGTTTTCAAGTTATGCTCTGGACAAGGAAAAGTAACAAAGGGCAATAACTCTGTAATTAGTCAAGATGGAGTTATGGTTCTTGTGCACTGCACTTCCTCTTATTGTGCTTGACCATTGTATGAAGTTGTTT